TGGCTGTGCCTGGCTGTGCAGGACTACAGGGGACCCAAATCTCTTGCAACTCCGAACAGAGTAGTGCTACACTAGGTTTGAACTGATTTTTGCTTGTTTGGAGGTTTGGCAATCGAATCCTTGTGACATCATTGAACAAATATGAACGTGTCAATATTAGGCGAATGACGTCACCTGGGACAACCCGCCCCTTTGTATACTTAGCAGAAGGGGACCAACAGATGTCATCAGTAGCTCAAGATGGAATTTACACAAACAAGATAATGTCTGATTGTAGTGACTCCTTCCTTATGAGATGGTGGCTCCTTCTGTGGTTTCAATAAGAAATAAATGTTAAGGCATCTTGTACTGTGCAGTCACTCGAACCAGCCCATAGTGCTCTGGGAGTCCTTTGTCATTAGGAATGAGATGCTGGTTCTGTCTGAACCTAGGTTTGGACCGAACTAAGATTGTTAGGCAAACGGATCCTCATGACATTGTTGTGGATGACTGGATTTTGCTCGTTTGGAGGTTCAGCAAATGGATTTCATTGACCAGGTATGGACATGTCTATATTGGTTCAATGACTTTAGCTGGGACACCTTGCCCTTTGTTTATAGCGCTGGGGACCAGCGGATGCCATTTGGTGTGCATGAAACAATGGCATCAAACGTTTTTGGTGGTCGGTGGGTTTTTTTCTTTTGGTGGGTCAGCGGGTTTCATTCGTCGTGATGGACTTGGATTTGCATCACTGGACGTCATGATTGATGGTGGATTTAGATTGCAGGGAATTTTTTTCGTAAATTAACGGGTTCCCGACCACCCTATAGCAGATCTACTGCTACAGGGTGGCTGGGCAGCACAAAATCACGTATATATACAGTACGTGATTTTGCATTCCCAAGTAGGGGGTGCGCATGCGCCCTACGCGCACAACCATTGGCCGGCCGGAGGTTCCCTGTCAGCACCCAGCGATCGCTGAGGAACACTGATAGGGGAGAGGTCTGTATGTAAACAATACAGATCTCTCCCTGGTCAGCACCAGCAGACTGCTTTGTATTGCTCTGCACAGCAGAGCAATACAAAGCAGCATGCTTACACAGTACAACACACAGTTAACCCTTTGATCACCCCAGATGTTAACCCCTTCCTGCCCAATGTCATTAGTACAGTGTCAGTGATTTTTATTACCACGTATCACTGTATTAGAGTCACTGGGGATGTCCATGGCAGTTAGTTCACCTCAGTGTCAGCATGCCCGCCGCAGTCCCACTATAAGTCGCTGACCGCTGCCATTACTGGTATTAAAAAATAAAAATCCAGTATATATACCGCCATTTGTAAATGCTATAACTTTCACGTAAACCAATTAATTTACACGTATTGGGAATTTTTTTTTAGCAAAGACATGGAGCAGAATACATATCGGCCTAAATTTATGACAAAATTAGATTTTTAAAAATTTTTTTACTGGACATGTTTTTATAGCAAAAAGTATAAAATGTTGAGGGTTTTTTTTTTATCAAAATTGTCATTTTTTTTGTTTATAGCGCAAAAAATAAAAATGCAGAAGCGATCAAATACCACCGAAAGAAAGCCCCATTTGTGGGGAAAAAAGGACATAAATGAAATGACCACACAATTGTCAGTTAACCTCTTCGTTTCGGCCACACGCAAATGTGCGGCCTCCTGGCATCTGGGCCTTGACACCGAGCAGCCGAACATTTGCGTGCAATTAAGAAAAACATATGTGCTGAGCTGCGCCCTCCCAGGACACATGTCCAGTACTCATGGAAAGGTCCTTATCTCCTCTTTCGATCGGGACCTTTCCTGATCATGTGACCGTCATGCTGGTGAATCACGGCGGTCACATGACCCTAAAAACTCCGCCCCGCCTCCTGGCTTCTGAAACCCTTAAAGGTCCCAGAGGTGCCGGCGCTAAGGGGTTAAAGTAACGTAGCGCCGTATCGCAAAAAAATGACCTGGTCAGGAGGGGGGTAAATCCTCTGGAGGGCAAGGGGTTAAAGTACTTGTGAAAAACTGTTTATTTTTTACTTTTTTTTGTGAATAAGTAGGGTTATTGTGCATCCCTTTACACATTCACATGGGTAGCAGTATCTTGGGGAGTTCCTTATTGTTAAAGGGGGCTTCCGGATTCTAATAAGCCCCCGATCCCCATAATATATGTGTATGTATAGGTGTGAATTAGGGACCTTAGATTGTACGCCCCTTGGGGGTTAGGGACTGATGTGAATGTACAATATATATGTAAAGTGCTGCGTAAATTGACAGCACTATATAAGTACCTGAGATAAATAAATAAACTACCAGGCCAAGGTTGTGGCAAGACACCCCCCACCCTATCTCATGTTGTGGGCATGGGGCTGGATATGGTTAGGAAAAAGGGGGGGGCGCAAATTTGTACATTGCCGTTTCTGGTTACAATAGAACATGTCGGTGTGTGCGGGGGGGGGGGGGGGGGGCTGTGTGAGTCGCTCTGCGTTTTTTGTCTTGCTCTGGAAGTGATGCAGGTAGGTGATTGTCTCTAGTACTAGCGGTGGGATGACACATGAGGAATATGAGAACAGTGTTCATGGCTCGGTATCACTTTTTATCCCCCGTCTTTCTATCAGTGATGGGTGGGGGAATCCCACGCTTAATAGAGTCACATCTGAGTCACCACTGAATGCCAGACCCCGGGGCACGCTTTCTCCGTGCCAGGATTGTTGTGTTTAGAATGAAGTTGTGAGCGTATTACATGTATGCTGCTGTACCACCTTGTGACCATTTGATGCATAGCAAAGGGAATAAATAAAAAAGGGTTATTGCAAATTTAAAGTGGACCTGTCACCAGATTTATTTTTTCATGCTAATTGCAGCATGCTTGATAATGCATTACTGTAACACTTCCAGGTATTTATTAACTCTCATAGAGATTATAGTTTTCACATTGACAATGCCTTCAGTTGTTTGCCGCTCCAGAAGGACAGCACCATCTTTGTTAAGGCATCATCCTGGGTAACAAATGTCTGACACAGATCAGCCCCTTGCAGTAGCCTCTCACATTGTGAGTTGTTACAATGTTGCAGTCTGATGACTTGGGGAAAACTATTTCCTCCTGCCTGCAGCAGACCAACAGCATCATCTCAGTCTAAAAAAAGTCACTGGACCAAAGCTCAAGGAAACATATATTAAGTGTATTTCTTAACCATTTGCGAACTGTCTGTCTACAATGTACTGCAGACGGGCGGCCGCTGTGGCCAAAGCGACGTACCATGCAATGCTGCCTATGTCCAGGTTTCAGGCACGCGCATGCACGCACCCCAGCCAGCACTAACTGTGATTATACATAGCGGAAGCCTGTCAGCAAGTCCCGGCCAATGATTCATGGGTGGGACCTGCTGATCGTCTGTATCCAATCACAGCCCAGAGCTCTGTGCTGACAATCAACACAGGGCTCTGTACAGAGGGATGAAAAACTAAGAGATCAGTAGTAAAAGGCAGCACACTTTACACATAGTTAGACACACATTTAACCCCTTGATCACCGTAGATATTAAGCCCTTCCCAGCCAGTATCATTACTACAGTGACAGTGTGTATTATCAATGATCACTGTATTGTCACTGGTAATGTCAGTGGCAGGTAGTGCCAGATTGCCCGCCGCACTTATCCCTGAGGGCACAGACAGCAATAAAACCAAGAAATTCTCCGCTCCATCAACTTCTCCCCACCTCCACTTGAACATCAGGCACTGGAGACAAACTGAGCCGTCCATGCTCATAGGTGCAGAAAGAAAGGACCACCACACATCGTATACATCACTAGCATCCATTGGGTGAAACATATTAGAGGGAACATTCCTTGGACCGCCATGCTAGTGGATGTCTCGTGCAATAAACTTGGATGCTGGTGATTGATTTGGTGTGCGGCGGCCCTTTCTTTCTGCATTATAGTGTGGCACTTTTAAATTCAATTTTAAATTCACGCATTCCCAACTACATCACCATACTTGTCTCAAAATATTCACCCTAACTGTTCTCTTTGCTCCACCGAAGGCCTCCTGCTCTCTAGCTCCTTGTCACCTCCTCCAGTGCTAGCCTCCAGGACCTCTCCAGAGCCTTTTCCATCCTCTTGGACTCCCTACCTCAATCTGTCCAATTATCTCATATTCTATCCACCTTTAGGTAATCCCTGAAACCCATCTTCTTATCCTGCTTCCACCTAACAAATGAACTTTCACTTTCTCCATCAACTCATCCCTACATACTTATGACATCACTTGCCCCTTCCTTTTAGATTGTAAAGCTGGCCACAGATGGATTGAAATTTGGCTGACCCGTTTTAAGTCGCTGATCACTACCATTAGTAGTACAAAAAACAATTCCAGTATGTATCCCATTTCACGCAAACCAAATCAATATACTGTATACTTATAGGGGAATTTTTTTCAGAGACATGTAGCAGAATACATTTTGGACAAAATTTATGAAGAAATTTTATTTTTTTTATTGGATATGTTTTGTTGCAGAAAGTAAATAATTTTTTTTTTTTTTTTTCGGTCTTTTTTAGTTTATATCTCAAAACATAAAAAAAAAACAACAGTGATGATCAAACATCACCAAAAGAAAGCTCTATTTGTGTGAAAAATTGATTTAAATTTCATTTGGGTGCAGTATTCCCTGACCGCTCAATTAGCAGTTATAGTAGTGCAGTGCTAAATATTACAACATGGCCTGGTTTATGAGGGGGGTAAAGCCTTCCGGAGCTTAAGTGGTTAATTAAAGTGTCAGTTCACCCAGAACTAATATTTGTTTTTTGGCGGATACCTGACAAATTTTTACCAGGGGCCCGTAGTAAGGGGTTTGACCCATCCCTGCTGGATTCTTTTATTTATTTTATGGTTTGGAAAATGTTAGCAGAGGAGATGAAACACCCAATTGTAGCAGGAGAAAGGAGACTCCTGACCAACACTATGGTAGTGAGATCTCAAAACTGAAGAGATAAACCTATGAGCTAGTAGTCCAAAAAATCAGACACTACCTGTAACGGCAAGGGCTAATGCCCAGTTAATGACTGTATTTACCCCTCTCTGCCAATCCCTCCACTGGCTTCCACTCAGTGTCCTCCACCCCTCTCTGCCAATCCCTCCACTGGCCTCCACTCAGTGTCCTCCACCCCTCTCTGCCAATCCCTCCACTGGCCTCCACTCAGTGTCCTCCACCCCTCTCTGCCAATCCCTCCACTGGCCTCCACTCAGTGTCCTCCACCCCTCTCTGCCAATCCCTCCACTGGCCTCCACTCAGTGTCCTCCACCCCTCTCTGCCAATCCCTCCACTGGCTTCCACTCAGTGTCCTCCACCCCTCTCTGCCAATCCCTCCACTGGCCTCCACTCAGTGTCCTCCATCCCTCTCTGCCAATCCCTCCACTGGCCTCCACTCAGTGTCCTCCACCCCTCTCTGCCAATCCCTTCACTGGCCTCCATTCAGTGTCCTCACACCCTCTCTGCCAATCCCTCCACTGGCCTCCACTCAGTGTCCTCCACCCCTCTCTGCCAATCCCTTCACTGGCCTCCATTCAGTGTCCTCCACCCCTCTCTGCCAATCCCTCCACTGGCTTCCACTCAGTGTCCTCCACCCCCCTCTGCCAATCCCTCCACTGGCTTCCACTCAGTGTCCTCCACCCCTCTCTCCCAATCCCTCCACTGGCCTCCACTCAGTGTCCTCCACCCCTCTCTGCCAATCCCTCCACTGGCCTCCACTCAGTATCCTCCACCTCTCTCTGCCAATCCCTCCACTGGCCTCCACTCAGTGTAATCCAACCCTCTCTGCCAATCCCTCCACTCAGTGTTCTCCATTCTTCTCTGCCAATCCCTCCACTGGCTTCCCATTGCCCAACAGATAAAATTCAAAACATTAACAATAACATATAAAGCCATTTATAACTCTGCCCCAAATTACATCACCAATCTTGTCTCCAAATATCACCCAAACCGTCCTCTCAGCTCCTCACATGACCTCTTGCTCTCTAGCTCCCTTGTCTCCTCCTCCCATGCTCATCTACAGGACTTCTCCAGAGCTTCCCCCATCCTCTGGAACTCTCTACCCCAATTTATCAGACGATCTCCTACTCTGCTCACTATTAGGCGGTCTCTGAAAACCTATCTCTTCAGGGAAGCCTATCCTGTCCTCAGCTAATAATGGAATCTTCTATTCCTCCTACCAGTCCATCCCCCATAGTTATTAACTTTTGTACCACTAGCCCCTCCCGCCTAGATTGTAAGCTCCAAGGAGCAGGACCCTCCTGGAAACCCTGTTGTATTGAACTGTATTGTTGCTGTATTGTCTCCTGTTATATGGTAAAGCACTGAGCAAACTGTTGGCGCTGTATAAATCCTGTATATAATAATAATAGGCACATATAACCATTTTTTGCATTACAGTAAATGTATCATTGTCTAAGCTGCAATATGCAAATTGTCCAGCGGGTGGCAGCCAGTCACCATGATACTGCACTGCTCTCTGACTCACAGCAAAAGTATGTGAACAAGTTGTGGTTTCCATGATTGTTCCATTAGCTGTACATGATGACATCAGTATCCTTTGTGAAGCTGTTAAGTGACATTTCAGATATTTTGTTTCTGCAAGAAAACCCTTCCAACTAGTTATTTGGCCATTGTCTACCTGCTAAATCCTGTTTCGGTGTAACAAGCCCTTGGTTCTCTCGGTGTCACTCACGGCTACATGAGAAAGGTGAAGGAACCATTGGGTTATCCTATTAATGAATTGTAGAATTGTTGAACCCCACGGACTAAGACTGGGAGGCCATTAAAGTTCATATGCGTGTAAAGGCAGGCGTCCCAATCAGGGGCGGACTGACAACTCATGGGGACCACAGGCAATAGGGGATCATGGGGCCCCTGTGCCCTCACCCACACTCAAAGCATACCCAAAAAAGCCTATGAAAGGTACCAGGGGCATCTCATGGGGCCCCCTACTGATCCCGGGCCCTCGGGCAGTGCCTGAGTTCCCGAATGGTCAGTCCGCCCCTGGTCCCAATACTTTTGCCAGTATAGTGTATGTCCTAATATAATAATTGTGTGGTAAAGGCAGAAGTAGGAGGAAAGGAGAGCTATCTCCCTATTCCCGTCTTTACCATACTGTTATTAAATTAGGACATAGACTGCAGTACCTACAACCGAAATGTAAGGAAAGCTACTCATTGCTATAGCCAAAAGCCTACAACATATTGTCAGTCCACCCCTGATTGTACCCACTCCTTGCCATAGGCCTTCCCAGGACATCCCCGAGCATTAGCCTGTATATTCTTGAAGAAAGGAGCGTCCACACAAGAAATATATTTTCTGCACTCTACTGATGTTCTTTAAAGATGGCAGTGACACATTACATCACAGACATACTGACAGGTGTCTTCAGCATCCATCGCCATACACAAAAGTGGACGGGCTGTAGCAGTCATTTGTGAAAGCAGAACATTGCACACCACTCATAAGCCATCTTCTCTTGGCATCTCCTCTCTCCTCTTCTTGGGAGCAGAGAAGTGTCCCTATGTACTAAATCTGTAGCCTTCTGCTCTATTCAAACTGAGATAAACCGAGGTAAAGCCTCCTACTCTGTCAGATTATTTCTGTAGTATATCAGTCCCATTCCATAGCTCTACCCAGTTGGGTATGCTCCCAGACGTTACTCTCACTCTTGGGTGTACCAGTAATCACGTCAGAGAACACGTAGTCTGGCCTAAAAGGCCTTTTTCATCCAACTCATAGTCCACTTAGACCGATTAAGTCAGGGTGACTACAGCTGGTTTCTTCTGAGTGTTAAACACATCACCCTGTGCTGCTCCCATGCCCCCTCTCATTCAGGCAATTGAGCTGCCACCCTGATATTTTTATGGGCGCTAGCTCGACCCATTACATCACTACAGGGAGGCTTTGTCTAAAGGGGAACCTAACACCCAATTACATAATTCCTTATTACCTCACTATTTTGGGACAGAGCCACCTAGTAGCAGACTAGCTAACTGCAACCTGCCTACAAACAGATCCGGCATATCTACCACCACCAAAGACAAAGAGAGCTCTCCTCCCGTTTTACTCATATCTGTCGTTCTCTCCCTTCTCCAACCTTTACCACAAAGTTATCATATTATGATATAGGCTATATTGCCCATGACCAATAGATCTAAGACTAGCAAAGCCTTGATGAAGGGGAGCTCCAATCCCCAACATGTGTTGGCTCTGTTTTACATCATACAATAATAAATAATCACTGTTCTCCAACCGGCTTGGGTTTCCAAGGTTTTCTAAGTGTGGCACTCCTCACCCACCTCCACAATCTTCACATACTCGATGGGACCGACTCTATGGAGCCTCCATGAGTTGTGCTGCCATAGGCCTACCCACCACCGCTATGGTCTAGCACTACCTCTACAATACAACCTCGGTTCTCTTTGTTGTGCTCTGCCTTGTTGTCACCAGAACAATTGATTATTATCTGTAGTGCACCCCCTGAAGAGCTGCTGGTGAACTTTCCCCCAGTTAAAGTGCACACAGCCAGACATACAGCATTTTCCCCACTGTTTCTCTGGCTTGACGGAACAGTCTAGGGGTGTCTTTTTAGGGTTTTATTTTAATGGTGAGCTTGGATGAGGTGAAAGGAGCATGGGATACCCCAAAAATGAGAAACTGAACTCTTTACTATCTTTCTGAGCTGCACAAAATGTCCCACAGAATCTCTAATGCTGATGAGTGACTATGGCATCTTCCAAAAGACCAACAGCTGAAAACAGTCACTAACATCCAGCACTTAGGTCATCTACTCACATGGCTACCAGGGGCGGACTGACAACTCATGGGGCCCCCGGGCAATAGAGGATCATGGGGCCCATGTGTCCTTGCCCAAACTCAAAAAAGCCTATGAAAAAGGTACCAGGGACATCTCATGGGGCCCCCTACTGACCCTGGGCCCTCAATAGGGGATCATGGGGCCCCTGTGTCCTTGCCCAAACTCAAAAAAGCCTATGAAAAAGGTACCAGGGGCATCTCATGTGGCCCCCTACTGACCCCGGGCCCTCGGGCAGTACCCGAGTTTCCAAATGGTCAGTCCGCCCCTGATGGCTACAACATCATCGGTTTCCTCCACTGGGCACTCTTCAGCAAATTAGATTCAGACTCACACCACAATAAAACAGCTGGACACCTTCCCTCCAACTTCTTCCTGGCTCTCTCCAGTGAGCTTCTCCAGACCCAAACTGACCCAAAGGACTAAGATTTGCAGACAGGCCCCCCCCCCACCTAGCTCCAGTTGGGACTTCAATGTCTTCTAGGTGGCTCCTCCAATAATCCTGCCCCAGGGGAAGAGCCCCTGCACAGGGGTTTCCTCCAGCAGGGCAGGACCCAGGGACTCCCCTCCCTGCCTCAGGCCTCAGACTATTTATGAGCTCTCCAGCCACCTTCTGGGCATACCTCCCCAAGGATTGTCTGTATTCCCCATAAATACTCAGGCTGCTTACTCTGTTGTTCCTCCCACTATGAGTCTAGAATCCTCTAGAATACAGGGGAAGTAATCAGAGCAGAAGCCTGTGAGATACTTAGCAGGCCAGAACAATCAAACCCTGCTCCACTCATTACAGAGGAGCTAAATTAAATTTACCTGCACTAACTAGGAGGGTGCTACGTGTCCTTCATACTTTAAATTAAATTTGCATCCAAACTTTCAGAACTTTTGCATCCAAACTTTCAGAACTTTTACCCTTTCTTCAAGGTCCAAGCAGTTGTCACCATAACAGTAGCTAATGGAGCACTAGATTGCAGTAAAACCGGGTGGAGGTTCCAAATCTTCCCCATCTGATCAAAAACGAGAAAACTGGACTGGACTTTAAAAGCAAATGCTTTGGATGGTTAAATAAAATATAATATGTTATTGTTTACTTATACAGATACATTATTATCTGTGTTGTTCCTAAAGAAGAACAAAAGTGGAGGTGGAAGGGACAGAAAGAACTCTCAACCAGGGTGCCCAGACACCCTGGGGTGCCTTGAGGTGTCTTCAGGGGTACCTTGGCAAAATGTCTAAAATTTGCCCAAAACTTGTATACAAGCCAGTGGGAACAAGCCTGCCTTTTAGTTACACAAAGGCACAGGTTTTCATTGTGCGCCATTATGACCTTCTAGCTTCCGGTGTCCTGACAACCAATGACATCATCAGCTGATAAGGAGCTGGATGCACAGCATCGTAGTTTGACCCTCCCCTATCCCTCTCCATCAGTGCTGGGGTCATATTAGCTCAGTGATGGAGAAAAACTGTGGGAGAAGAGAAACAATGGAATACTAGTCAGTCCCAGTGTGCGAAAGTGTATTTGTTTTGGAAGAATAAATCACCTCTAATGTTGGGTGTCCTACATGTGTGGATGTTGCTGCATTATATAAAACTATTAGAATAGTTTTTCACAATGTAGAATGCGGTGCCCTTTTAAAAATTATGGACAGCCTTGAGGCACCCCATTTTAGAATAGGGTTCCTCGGGACTGTCCATAATTTTAAAGGGTTCCTTGGGACTGTCCAAAATTTTAAAGGGTTCCTCGGGACTGTCCATACTTTTAAAGGGTTCCTCGGGACTGTCCATAATTTTAAAGGGTTCTTCGGGACTGTCCATAACTATAAAGGGTTCCTCGGGACTGTACATATCTTTAAATTGTTCCAAGGGACTGTCCATAATTTCAAAGGATTCCTCAGGAC